AGAGGGATGCGCTCCACCTGCTCTGAAGGACACACCCCAGATTGTGTGCAACCTCCACTATAACTCACCCCTCCTCCAATCTATCTTCCTTCCAGCTGCTCCTACAGAGGATGACAGAGTAAGGGCCATCCCTGGATTCCCTACCATCAATAACAGATGCCCAAATGTAGGCTGTCACACCTAGACTACTGCAGTGGTTAGTGATCTGTCCTTGAGCCTGCTCTCCTATCGACCCTGCACGTGTTTAATCTTCCTAAAATCATGATGCTCACTTGCCCTTATGTGTCCGTGAAGTACCGTAGCTGACGTTTCCATCAGTGGTTGACTGAAATGTGTTTTGGCTCCAGTCAATTTTTCCAGCTTTCTTTTGTATTTCTAGAAGCTGGAAAGATGACTCAGTGGTTAAGAGCATTTACTGCTCTTCCAGAGGACCTGAATTCAGTCCCCAGGACCCACACGGTGGCTAACAACTATGTATTAATTCAGTTCCGGGAGACCTGATGCCATCTTCTGGACTCTGTGGGAATTACACAACATGGGTATACTTAAATTCATGCAGTCAAAACACACACATAAGATAAAAATAAAGTTTTACCAAAAAGTCTCACATCCAAACAGTTCTCTAAACGCCCACTTCTCTTCTGCCTTGCCAGTTCCTGTCTATGTTTTGAACAACAACTCTTTCGTCAAGTAACCAGTTCCTAACAACCGATTTGAAGAATGGGGAAACCTCAAACCTTTTTTTCTGAATTCCTATAGTGTTAGGTATTTTTACCATGCTACATTTCATATATAAATGCTATTCATTCATTTATTCAAATAAAATGAATGAAAGTGTCAAGAGGCATTCTAGATCAGATGAAATGGCCTTCAAAGATCTAACGTATGGTCTATAAAAAGAAAGGAAGAAAAAAGAAAACAAACGAGAAGGACAACCATGTGTCATCTATTCTGAGCAGATCATCATGCCGTCCTTTTCTATATGATGGTTCGGTTCCTTACAACTCTATAAAGGGGTATCACTTTACCCTAAGGAAACTGCATCTCAGAGTCGAAACCACTTAAACAAGCATTGTCACGTGTCTCTCTTTCTCTGCTGTCCTTGGCCCCCTCTCAGAGTCTCTGCCCACACCTTGTTCCATCCCTGAGAGCTGATCTCTACAACTAAACTCTTTTACCTTCTGGCTTCCAGTGAGGTTAAATGAATGTGAGGCGGCAGCAGGAGCTAAGAGGGTAGCACACCTCCTCCACCTCCTCCTTCCTGACTTACTGGTTCTGGCAGTAGCTACAGTCTGCAGCCATAGCTTCCATGAATGGACTTAGCTCTTACCTCCAGGATCCAGTGACCTTTGCTTCTGCAGTCCCTTCAGGCCAGGGGTGGCAGGGAGGCAGGTTCCACTAGCAAGCTGGTGAAGTAACTGAACCTTACTTGCACCTGTATAAATAGTCCTTTCATAAACCTCTTTTCAGTCAATCAAATAAATGTGCCAACTGTTTCCTGTAGATACACATAGGAGCACATGAACCTATGTGGGTCTTATGGCAGTAGCCTCCATTTTCACTGAGATATCTGCTACCCTGGAGGTCCTGAGAATGAAAATGGGTAGCTTGCTGATAGGAATGGTCAAAAAACTCACTGAACAAGCCAAGTGAGCATGAGTCAATCTTAAAACTTAGAGTTCACTAGACAACTCAGAGTCAGTTCAAAGTCATAGAGGCATGACACATTTCTCATTAACCAAGTAGTTTATATAGAAGGCTCATGAGAGACTGATAATCACCTGCCCCTCAAACCACATGGGGAGATTAAAAGTGAAGAATTCACTAGTTAAAAACAGAACAAATCCACCTATCTTTTTCCTCTGTGTGTGTTCACGTGTGTGTGTGTATGTGTGTGTGTGTAAGTATGTGTGTGTGCATATATTCACATGCTCATGTGTCCAAGTGCACATGTAGGCAGGTGCACATGCGTGTGTGTGTGTGTGTGTGTGTGTGTGTGTGTGTGTGTGTGTGGAGGAGGGCCTCAGGCACTGGGATAGTGTTGATTTTCACCTTGACAGGATCTAGAATTTTCTGGGAGAAAGCCCTCTGGGCATGCCTCTGAGGCATTGTCTTGATTCTAGTAATTGAAGTAAGCCAACCTGCCCATTGGCAGCACCATTTCAAGGGCTGAGACCTGGACTGAAAAAGAGAGAGGGAGCTAGCCACAAGCATTTCTCTGTCTATTTCTTTACTTTGGATGCAATGTGACCAGTTCCCTCAAGCTCCTGCCACTGTGACTTCCCAGTCAGGATGGACTTTACCCTTAACTCTGAATGAAAATCAACGCTTTCTCCCTTAGGTTGCTTTTGTCAGAATATTTTATCACAGCAACTAAGACAGGCACGAGCTGCCTTTTTTTTTTTTTTACAAGGTCTCCCACTGACACGGAAATCATCAAGGAGGTTAGGATGGCCAACAAGACCCAGGGATCCATCCATTTCTGTCTCTACTTGGCATTGGGGTTGAATCTGCACCATCATGGCCAGCTTTTTTATGTGGATTCTGGGGACTGAACTCAGGTCCTCATGCCTACAAGGTTAACACTTAATAGACTGAACCATCTCACCAGCCCCCTAGTCTCTACCTTTAACTGGGCCACAGCACTGGAGATAAGCTCAATTAGTTCACATACTATACAAGCTTATAACGTACAATGTGGAAGCCTCATTTGCAGCTCATCTACCTGCACCTCAAATGATTTACTGCGTGGACCACAGCTTCGCAAGCCTCTGTGCCATTTGGTGGTCTCCTCTGAGATCACTAACTTCATTTTCCACTTGATAAACTTTAGTTTAATCTTTCAGGACTTGCCTTGGAGCAAGGCAAATAGTCTTATCTGCAAATAGTTTTGGCCATCTGGGCTGCTTCTAGAGTGTCGTGCACAGCTCCAGAGCAGTACTCACATACACAGAACATGCATGTGTTTGTCAACTGACACAGCTGTGAGACCTTACAAATAGGTACCATGGTAAGATAAGAGTATGGAGGTGAGTGCTTACGATCTAGAAATAGGGTGCCTAGATTCAAACTCTAAATTCTGTTCCCTAGCAACTGGGTCATCTTAGGTGTGTGAGCTATTCTCCAGGTCTCAGTTTCATTATCTATAAAATGGCAATGGTAACATCTACCTCAACAGATTAAATGAGAAAAAGAATAAAGCCTGTTATATTCCTGAGCCCTGTTAGTTAATATGTGTGTATATAACCTTTATTTCTTATATAAAAAGTATACAAATTTGTTGAGTAAGAAAGCTTTCCATTTCCCCTTTCTCTGCATAAATAAGTTCTATTTAGATGGTCTTTCCTTTATTAAATCATGAAGGCTTTCCTCTCTAAATACATACAGTTTATATGCCATGGAACAATATTTAAGCCAGTCTTGGACCACACTGTTCTAATTAGATGGTACCATCTAATTAGTTTTTCTTTAGAAGGCGAAAAGCTCCCATAACCTAGTGATGTCAAAGCCACTGTAATATCTTGTTCAACACATGAGTCATGTGCTCATGATATTAGTGTAAACAATCCTGTTGCACTGCCAGCTGTGGAAAGGTACAGCACATACAATTACACTCACACACAGGACTTGACAGTGATAATAAATGACTAATTGCTACCTTATGTATTTATTATACTATACTTTTATCATTATTTTAGTATTTACTCCTATTTATTTAACAAGACAGGTTACTGCAGTACAGCATGCTGTTGGGCCCCAGCAGAAGTCTCCTGCAACTCACGCTTACCCTGTCTATTGACTGCATGTTCTTCTCCTGCAGTGGACTCATTCTCATGTTGTTTTATTTATTATGGCCCTCAGAGCAACACATATAGCATGGCTGTTCACACGTACATGTACACACACACACACACACACACACACACACACACACACCATAGATTTGTGCAAATACACTCCATATACACAACAGTAAAAAGTCATCTAGGACAGTAATGCTTTTCTTATGTTTCAGATGGTTCATGATAAACAGGACCTTTCTGCTGGTCCAGTCACTCAGCCTATTTCCATGTGTGCCTGCCACACAGCTACCCCAATAGAAGGGCATCAGTATTTAAATCATTCCAGTGACATTATCAAGTCAAATCCTGATAGTTCCCACAGTGTGGCACAGGAAACAAAAATAATAGGCTCAATATAGCAAAGGGATGAACCCCATGGACACTTTTTCTAATCATAAAGCACTATGAAAGTATTGCAGATAAGAAATATTCCTTTTAAAGTTTTGAAAAAGCATTCACCAAGGCCCCCATCCTTAATTATCAGAATGTTGATTAGCATGTCCATGTGTCAGAAAAAAGCCCAGTACACCTAGATCAGAATGCTCAGGAAAAGAGGAGGTGTCGACTAGCTCCCAGTTGAGTCCCAAATGTCCCAGGGAAGGCAATTCACCAGTCAACAGAAACACAGGACACCTGGTTAGGAAAGACAGAGCCGCTGCCTTCCAACAACTGAAAGGCCACACTTCAGAGGTCTTTCCAGAGTTACCCTGAGCTGGTTATAAAGGGAAGCTGGGCCTTCCTGGTCAAGAGCCTCCTGAAGGAGATTAGCTAAGGCCATTGATTCCAGTCCCATCTTCCCTCCTGTGCTTTTCCTGTCCTAATACTGGCTTTGCTGTTGCCTGGTTACCAGCTCTGAGGAATACCACCCCTACTGTCTCTAGGCTCCCTATCCTCTTTCTAGACCACGAGCTCCAACAGCAGTGGGCATTCATCAGGTTGTATATCAGTCTGGATGACACTGACCTACTTTTACCTCTCTGGTAATGGTCTGCCCTGGGATCCTCTAAGAAATCTATTCCTTCCTAAAACACAGTCACTTTGGGGGATAACAACACAACAACCTGTTTACATGATCCGAAACTTGTTTAAGATGAGAGAATGACCATACCATTTAGGCGAAGTATTTAATTTTCTTATAGAAGACAGTTCTTTACTTACAGGTCTTCTGACTGGAGCACCTTGAACAGAGTGATAAAATTCTGGCTGGACTCGGCTGCTTTTCTTGATTCTTCGCTTCCTCACTGAAGTTTCTTGCTCACTCTGATGGTGAGCTTCCACCACAGGCTTTACCTCTTCTAGTCGGGCAGCTGCGGCGGCTGCAACCCGTCTCCTGATATGTCGAGGGCTCGCTCGGAATCCCTGTGGCAGGAAACACACAAAATTCAGAATTTTCACTGAATTACTCTAGACATGTTCTGGAGTTAATTAAACTAAGAGCTTCCCAAATCCCCAGTCAATGAAATCATTTACATTTCTAAAGTGAGGAAGACGCTCAACATGCATGTAAAGTTTATCCACAGGACTGTGTACAGTGCCTCATGGTTCAGAACAGCCTACCTTAGAAAATACTCCAGAGATCCAGCAAATCCATGGAAGAATGCAAAAGAGCAGATGGGTACCCTGCCCTACTTCTTTATGGTAGAAATGAGGTATAAAGAATGTGTGACAGCTTTAGCTTGAAACGGGGGGAGGGGGAGAGGGGTTAGGGTGGAGAATAGTACACCGGTCCAGGTGTGATGGTTTTAATTATCAACATGACACAATGTAGAGTCACCCTGGAAAAGAATCTCAACGAGGCATTGCCTAGATCAGGTTGGCCTGTGGGCATGTGACAAGAATCAAGGCTGTGAGGGTCTGTTTATGCTTAGACAACCTTGCACTGATAAGAATTTTCGGCATGGGTCAAAATGGCTATGGCTAAACATCTGGAGGGCTATGAGTCAGCACAGAAATGACTGACACCGAATGTCCAGGGACCCCAAAAGTAAACAGTGATATAATCTATTACATTACCAGTTTTGATCTTTGTGTGATTTCCTAGAAAAGTCCTTAGGACAAGGTACATGTTTAGGACAAGGTACATGTTCTCTTGTCCAGTGTCCCCCTGCCCAGCAGCCTGTGTGCTCTCAGGGGGGAAAGATAAAGCGTGCTTCATTTGCCAGTGGCTCTATAAATCTATTTGCTCTCCAGCTCCTCTTGACCCTCTGTTCCTGGCCTCAGGACTTGTCCTCCAAATTATTTCTGTAGAGGACTGTCTTGACTATATTATTGCAAGCAGCACCATCCCTGGATCCTAGACAGTTTACTTACAGAGAGGGGCCAAGCACCAATAAGGATGCATGCATCTGTTCTCTGTTCTTCATTGTGGAGGAGACTAGTTACTTCAAGTTCCTGTAACTGGAATTGCAAGCCAAATAAGCCTTTTCTCCCTTAAAGTTGCTTTTGTGAGGGCATTTTATCACCAGCAACAGAAGTGAAGAGCAAAGGGCTATTGCACTCCTAGAGCAGAACCCTCTTGGAGGAAGTAGGAATGCAAAGCTAAGGTGAGATGGTTGGTGAGACAGAGGAGGTAAGTTTTAGAGTGATAGGTCTGGATCCAAGTGCTGACTTGTTAACTAAAGCTACACAATGCATTCAACATTTCTGATTTCAGCTGTTCTAATCTATAAAATATCTGCATTCTATTATTACAGCATTTCTAAGTCACCTTACCATTGTGGCTGAATAAAAAACAATCTGACTTAGTGCTCATTTGAAGACCAGGGGTGGACCTGAGCTCTAAGCACCTGTTCCTTCAGCTGTCTCACAGAACTCTGCTTTCAAGCCAAGCTTCACTCACTCTTTTATTCCAACAGTATCTCCAGCATGAATTGGGGAACTTGAAACTAGGATCCACCCCCATTTCATCTGATCCCTGGGCCTAGAATATCACATACACAGTTTCAGACAGACTTCTCAATTCTTTTCACTGTTTTCAATGAAAATGCCAGGCTGCTTCCAGCGATTTGATATGTTAATCATTTGCACCCACATTCATTCACTATCTTGGGTGAAGGGTAAGGAGGAGTCCTGAGGGATTAAGGTCAGGTGCCCAGGTCACAAGAGAAGCACATGGCTTGGGAGAGCTTGTTTACATTATAAACAGTACGTTTTTGGTCACAAAGTTAGGTAAAAGTTATTAGTCTGATTATGTCCATATTGTAAAAGACATATTCAGAAGACTTTTAAATTTTAAATAAAATAGTCTATGTAAAATTCAAAGTACAGCATCTAGAAAAAAGCAGGTGTTTGATAAAATGGCTATGCTTTCTCTCTTTCAGTAAGGTAAGCATAACTCATTAGACAATCAATGCCATGCTGTGCACTTGGGAATGTCCAAACAATTGGGGAAATTTCAAAGATAATCTCTGTCCTGCTATGGCTTATAGTTTACCAGAAAACTAAAGAAGTGGCTTACACCAAGTACACAAGCACACAGGCATGTGTAGTTAAGGGTTAAAGGCAGTCCAGGACTGTCACTAGTAGATCTCAGGGAAGGAATCAATGAATGAAGCTGGGAATACTCTGTATGTGACTTAGTGTGGTGGGTGGCAGGCACTTGAAGAGTGGATAGAATTTATATTCCAGGCAAGGGAAAGAACATAGGGAATGAACGCATAAGTAAAATGACAGGAATGAGGAGGCAATGTTTACAAGCAATGGAAATACTACTGGATGGCATGTCAGCAGGAGAGTGTCAGTCAAGTGTGGAGGGGAAGTAGAGAGGGTAAGCAGCAAATGCTCCAAGGGGTGCCTCTGAGTCTGTGGGTCCCCTGAATTTTAGAAGTGATATAAAAGACTTAAAGACTGCAGTGGCAGTATATGGAACAGAGAAACATGTTTTTTAAAAAGGTCTGATTGTGTATCCGTGGGGTTCAAAAACACCGGTGTATGTAGGGGACTTCTCACTGAGGGGTCTGGAGACCTTGTTCACAAACTGAAGGATATGAAGAGGAGGAAGAAGAAAGTAGAGGATGACTGACACAGTAACATTGAGGTCAACAGAAAGAGCACAGAGGAAATGCAAACCGATTTTCAGAACTGAGGTCATGGTTTGGGCTCTTTCTTCACATCAGCCTGTTCCCATCCCTCCCCTGTGCAAAAGCTCAGCTGGTCCTCTTCAACTCAAAATAGCCCCGGAAGGTCCTGGCAGCACCCACACAAGCCAGGAGGTGCTACAGCAGCTGCTGGAGTAGAAGATTAAGAATGGGGAACTGGAGTCAACTGCAAACCATGTTCTGGAGCAGTTTGGGTCAAACATGTAGGAACCCACAACTATGTACATGCCTGGACCCCCACCCGGATCCCCTCCTCCTCTGAATGAGGCTTGATGTGGGTTAAGTCTGCAGTTTGAGAACTTAAGAATCTCAAGGAACCACAGTTTAATCAAACCACTAGGTGGCACTAACAGCCATTACCCACAGTGTCATCATTTAGAACTGTGGGTACCAAGAGAACTAACAAATCATGCGATAACATGCTAGCGTTGTAGAAACGGAGGGAACTAAGGGCATTTATTTGGTAAAAATGTAGTTTCTCCTCTTAGGAGCAATAAGCAGTCATGTTTTGCTTAGTTTCCATTTTGTTCTTGTTGTTATTGATTTTGTGTTTTGGAGGAGGTGTTGTTGTTGGTCTGAGACAGGGTCTCCCTGTAGCCCCTGCTGGCCTGGAATTCACTATGTAGACCAGGCTGGCCTCGAATTCACAGAGATCCACCTGCTTCTGCCTCCTGAGTGCTGAGATTAAAAGTGTACAACACCACACCCAGTCTACTTCCCACTATTACCAATAGTCCTCAGCAGTCTACAAATTCTAGAATCACTTAGGAGGGGCACTACCTAAAATTCTTCTAAAATGATCCCCCCCAAAAAATCACAGCATGATGGTACAGCCATTTTAGAGAACAAGAACCCATTCAAGCCATATCTTATATCCATGTGGGACAGATTCTACCAAGACTGTCTGAGAAGACACGCAAAGAAGAACTGTGATTTTTCACTGTTTTTAAATATATGTATTTATTTGATTATGTATGTTTCTGAGTGTGTATGTGTTTGAGTGTGTGTGTATGAGAGAGAAAGAGATGTAGAGAGAGAGGAAAAGAGGGAGGAGGGGGAGGGGAGAGAGAGAGAAAGAGAGAGAGACCACGGTATACATGTGGAGGTAAGCAGACAAGTTTGGGGAGTTAGTTCTCTCCTTCCACTACTTGGGTCCCTGGGACCAAACTCAGGTTGTCAGACTTGGCGGCAATCACCTTTACCCACTGAACCATCTTACCAGCCCATAAAATACTTTATGATACCCAAAGCAGAAAGCAATTAAAAGCAGTGTTTTCTAAGCTTCAGCCATTTTCCTCTCACCTACATAGTTTTTCCAGATCTGACCATTGCCACGCCAACCACTGTAAATGCTATTTTGTCCAAATATAATTGTACTATTTTATTTTCTTTTAAAAAATATTTTGTTATTTGTTATTTTTAATGTGTATGAAGAGCATTGCCTGCACGTATGTGAGTGCACCATGTCATGCAATGCCACAGAGGTTAGAAGAGGGCACCGGATTCCCCTGGAACTGGAGTTAAGGGCGGTTTGTAGCCACCATGTGGGTGCTGGGAATAGAACCCGGGTCTTCTGCAAGAGCAATCAGTGTTCTTAACAACTGAGCCATCTCTCCAGCCCCAAAAAGAATTGAACTATTTTAAAACGCTTTTTATAAGCACTGTAGTAGAGTGCACAGATTGTACAGTCAGACTACTGCCTCTGTCATTTCCAGCTTGTGTGATCTTGGCTAGTTACTTAATTATTTCCTTACCTGTAAAATAGGCATTAGAATCACTTCATAGGCTTAAGAGGAATTATGAATTCACTTAAACTACACAGACGAGTGCTTCACACAGTAGGCTATGTATTAACTATGGTTACTATATATTACTTGTATAAATAAAATACATTCTTTTAAAAGTTTCAGTTATTCATTTATTTCATGTGTATGATGTTTTACTTACCATGTTTGTAAGTGCATCTGTGTTGGGCAATGCCCACAGAGCCCAGGGAGAGTATCAGATCCCCTGGGAACTGGAGTTACAAATGGTTGTTAGCCATTGTGTCGGTGCTGGGAACAGAACCTGAGTCCTGTGCAAAAGCAACCAGTGTTTTTAACTGCTGAGCCATCTCTCCAGCCCCAATAAAATGTATTCTTGAACACAATCAGATATGATATGAAAAGGAAAAATGAGTCACACTGCTGGTGTGCCTTGCTGACAGGCCCCGAGGCACTGATGACTAGGTGGGTTCTTGCTCCAGATAATCCCAGGCACGCG